CCCCCCCCCGAAAAATTTTTGACCTTGCACACGTCTGGTTATAAATCAAGGAACTAAAACGAGGCTGTTCATCATTTCGAGGACTTTATTTCCGTTTAATTTTGTCCATTGCAAATTTCTTTCATTTCGCTTATGAAGAATGGTTTTAAATTTGAACAAATGCAAATTTTCTTTAATTAAACGCGAATATTGCGAACTTGTAATGTGATAAGAATAATTATTAGAAAAGAAATGTGTATAAAAGCGTTGACGAGCACAGCTCAGAATCATACTTAAATTTGACAGCATTTCATTTTGTCGTGTGGAATTTTTTCCCAACAATAACTTTTCGAACATGTTCAAGTTCACTTTATTTTTATTTTCAGTGAATGTGGCCATAGTAAGTACAACTGTTTGCAATTTTTGAGTTAAAGAAATCTTTTCAACAAGCTAAAGTGTTAATTTGTTTTTTTCCAGAACTCTCTGTTTGTGGGGGCAGCAATTGATAGTACAGCCCGTTTAGGCCAAAATACAACTATTGACTCGAGTGCGGACATAAAGGCCAATGTAGAAGTTGGTAATTCTGTTTCTGTTGGTCGGTCTTCTTCAATTGGAGAAAGAAGTAAACTCGGCCAAAATGTCAATATCGGTCAGAACTGTACTATCGGTAGTGACGCGATCATTTCAAATTTCACAGTCATTGGCAGTGGTACTACAATCGGAAATGGCTGTACTCTCTCTGAGTTTACAAGTATAGGATCGCGTGTGAAAATCGGGAACGGAGTAAAAGTGAGTAAATACGTATCCGTTGCAAACGGTGTCGAAATTAAAGACAATAGTATTGTCGATGATTTTTGCGCAATTCGATCGAACATACCATCAAACGTGTACATTGGTAAATTTGCATCGGTCCAAGCGAATTCGATCGTTAACGACTTGGCAATCGTTCATAAATACGTTAATATAGCAAGTAATACTACGGTTCAAAACAACGCAGTCATAATGCGAGCACCCACAACCAATGAACTGTTTGAGAAATCTGCACCGATCGCCAACATATCAGATACACAGTAAGATACTTTCGAAATTTTCATCTTCTAATGTTTTATTCATTTTTTCAACATGTTCTGAACAAATTCTCATATTCATTCCAGAATCCAAGGTGCAAGTGATAAAAGTGCTGTTCTGTAAGTTAAATAGATTCAATCAATGTATTCAACTTATGATTTGCATTTAATTCCTAGTTCGACCACATTCAATACTATGTTCGACGGCTTATTGGATGCCCAGATCAATGATCTGAAATCAAAGTGTGTACAAGGGGGAAATACGATATTTAAACCAGATCTGGCTGCAATCAAAACATTGTATTTAATTCGTAGTGGCATAGAAAGGTAATCTCTACTAAATACTGTGTATATTCACATTGGAATAAGTTTATTCAATTAATTATGTTTTATGTTTTATAGTTCCTTGTCGTCGCAAGCGGGAACGAATCCACAACCGGGAACAAATACTCCACAACAGTCGGTGACTATTGAGTCGAAGGACGGGAATATTTTCGTCGGTGTAGGCTTTAGGTAAATTTTATCGTTCTCCGTGTTTCTTTTGTAGAAATTTAATCTCTAAAGTAATTTATTTTTCTTTTTCTTTTTTGAATATGTGAAGAATCGAGTCGGATTCTCATTTTGGAGGAACTTCGGCAGACACTATGTAAGCTATCTCAAATATCCAAATAATTTATGTGATATGATAACTGTGCGTCATATTCTATAGATTGCAGCCTGCAGTGAAGACGAAAGTAATTCAGTTGCTAGCAATTGAAGAAGAAGCAGAACGGGCAAGTCGTCCTGGAAATCAAACTTTCTGCTCGGTGACTACAGAAATACTGGCCGTAACACGATCAGTGACTGTCGCAATATAATCGATTGTTGGAAGCTAAGTTGTTGATCCGAGAAGCTCCCTTGTTGTAATCTCGGTTTAAAGTTAATCAAACGAAAGAAATTGTCACTTATGTAAAAATGTGAAATATTCCAAATAAAAAAACAAGAGACATACACACTAATATTATACATTTTAAATTTATCTTCAGAATTAGGAGATATTTCATGCAATTTAAACATAGAAAAAAGGATGAATTTGTTTGTTCTTTTAGAATTTTGTTATTATTGTAGTCTTTTTTCAATGTTCTTTCATTGTTTGTAAGATTTTCCATTCTATCCATATGAATTGAAGAAGATGCGAATCGTGAAAATTTTCTACAATAAATGAAAACTTCATCTTGATTACTATGAAATAATAAACGGACAATGAGAAGCAAATGACGCAATCTAATGTGATCCATGTGCCGTAATCACTCTGAACCATTTCGTATTTCTTACAAAAATAATTATAACCTCCTTCCGTCGAAATCATATACATAATGAACATAATAAGAATTGATGTCCAGTTTCCTCTCTATCTGTTCGAATAAATGAAAGCAACAAAATTTGTTGATTTGGCTAATGAAAAACGACACTTTTACCTCATAGTAATGAAGTTGTTGGTGTGATAGAACATCTCCAATATGGAATCCTTGAATTGATTGAATTCATCATTTCAACGACCTATTTCTCTTTCATTTACTCTTTTTGACATTTTAGTGCTGGTCCGAATGCTCTAAGTGCCAAATACAGCATTGCACGGGCTATCGCCATTCATAGATTTTAGCACCGATACATAGTAACTGACTAAAAGTATTTGTGAGTAGTTTGTTGAACACTTATCATATTTTGATTGAAATACGTTGCAATTACTTGAAGTTTAATTACACGAAACCAACGAATTTGTGGTAAGTCTTCGCTGCAGTTCAAGAAATTTTCCATTTAATTCATAATTCATTCTAATTTTAATGAACACTTTCCATTCTTCTCATTTAGAAGACTTTAAAATATGATTTTTTTTTGCATTTCGCCCAAAAAATTATAATTTCGATGGATACCTCAACAGTCAGATAAACAGTGGAAAATGCCCAAACTAGCTCTTTCACATCATTAAACTTGGCCCATGAATCGATATTGTACTTTGAAAGCAATATTAGTCAGGGAACGAAGATACATACACGATGGTCATGTTCATCATTTGAATGACTATTTTCCGTTTAATTTGGTTTATTACAAATTTATTTCATTCCGCTTATTAAGGTGCAAATTAAAAACAAATAAAAACAGTGTTTCTCAACAGACGTTGCGAAGGCCCTAATACTGCACATGTGTGTGCGCGTGTAACTTTCCACCGGTATTGCCGAATGTTGTTAACGATAACATAGAGGCTGCTGTGTTTGCGCTAGTGTATTATAAACACACTTACGTTGTGTGTAATACGTTAGTCACCACACTGAAAGATGTTGACGAAATGTGTAGAAAAGCGTCGACGACCACAGTTCAGAATCATATTTAAATTTACCAGCGAATCGTATTGTCGTGTTGAATTTTTTCCCAATAATTACTTTTCGAATATGTTCAAGCTTATTTTATTTTTATTTTCGGTGCATATGGCCACAGTAAGTATAGCTGTTTGCATTTCTTTTTAGAAAATAGAAACTTCTCAACAAGTTAGGGAGTTAATTGCGTTTTTATGTTTTTCTAGAGTTTTTCGTTTCAGAATGTGCAGCGGGGGGCACTAGTTGATGATACAGCCTTTTTAGGTCAATTTACAAATATTGATCAGAATGTAGTCATAGAGGCGAATGCACGAATCGGTAATTTCGTGTCCATTGGTCGATCTACTTCAATTGGAAAAAACACCCAGATCGGCAACCATGCTAATATCGCTCAGCGCTGTATTATCGCAAATGACGTAACCATTTCAAATTTTGTAAACATTGGTATTGGCACTACAATCGGACCTGACTGTGTTCTCTCTGAATTCGCAAATACGGGAAACAGTGTACGAATCGGGAACGGAGTAAAAGTGGATAAACATGCATCCATTTCAAACGGGGCCGGAATTCAAGATGATAGTCTTATTGATGAGTTTTCTTCGATTGGTTCCGATGCCAAAATCGGACCGAAAGTCTATATTGGTAAATTTGCATCGATCTCAGCGAATGCGATCGTTAATAAACTGGCAATCGTTCACAAATTCGTTGAAATACCGAATGGATATATGATTAAAAACAACGAAGTCGTAATACGAACACCATCAACCTATGAACTGTATCAGAAATGCGCAGCTATCGGAAGCATCTCAGATGCACAGTGAGATACACTCAAGCCTTTTTATCCCCTACAGTTTGGTTTATTTTTTAACAAATATTCTCCATTTATTTCAGAGTACAAATTGCAAGTGATAAGAGTGCTATGCCGTGAGTCAATAGATTCAATTGGATATGTCAGTGTATTTTACTTATTATTTCCATTAAATTTATAGTTCGGCTCAATTCAATGCAATGTTGCGCAGCTTGTTGGATGCTCCGATCAATGATGTGACAGCAAAGTGTGAACAAGGGAATATGATGGCAAAACCAGATTTGACTGCAATCAAAAGCTTGTATTTGATTCAACGTTACGGCTTAGAACGGTAATTTATAGTGAACCATATATGATACATCCACATTTGAATGACATTATTCAGTTGAATATATTTTCAAATTCCGATTCTTCAGTTTCAAAGAAACGCAGCAAAAAGTACAGCAGTCGTTGAACGGCATGGCGAATGTTCAAATGAATAACGAGGACGTTTACATTAATGGATTTAGGTAAACATTGTTGTTTTCCGTGTTTTTTTTCCTTTGTCAAAACTAGAAAATGATTTTTTCCATCTGTTTTCTTTCTTTTTTTGAATATGAAAAGAATCGAGTCGGATTATCACTTTGGAGAAGCTTCAGGAGACACTATGTAAGTAATTTGAAATAACCACACGTTTTATTTGATATAATGACTATACGAAATTTTGTACAGATTGGAGCGTGACGTGAAGACCAAGTTCATTCAGTTGCTAGCAATTGAAGAAGAAGCTGAACGGGGAAATGGGCCCGGAAGTCAAACCTTCTGCTCGGTTACTATGGAAATAATAAACGGACAACGAGAAGTAATGGTCGCAAAACGAAGCGGTCAACAGAATTTCGGCAACAATTACATTATTTCCAACAACGTTCAATTAACTGATTTTGATAATTCAGGAAATAATTTTAATTGGAATGATGACTTTATGGGCGGTAATTTCAATTTCAATAGTAACTTAGGGACAAATACTGGGTTCAGTTTCAATAATAATAACAACAATCGTTGGTGGAATTAATTTTTTGATCAACGAGCCCCTTTGTTGAAGCCTCGGTTTGAAGGAGATCAAATGAAACAACTTGTATCGAATCTTTTGTCACATCTATGAAAATGTGAAATAATATTTCAAATAAAAAAGGGACAAAATAATCTTTATTGTTATTCATTTCAAATTTATCTTCAGAATTGGGCGATATTTCATGCAATTTGTGCATAGAAAATATGATGAACTTGTTTGTTCTGTTCAGAATTTTGTTATTATTGTAGTTTTCTTTTATCCGTTGTGTCCGTTCATTGTTTGTAGGATTTTCATTTTGTTCGTTGACCACTCTAGCTACAGGGGGATGCTGATCATGGAAATCGTGTTGCAAATGACAATTTTTGCTGGGTCACTATGGAAATAGTAAATGGACAACGAGAAGTAACAAAAATCATGTGATCTATGTGCAGTAATCACTTGAAACAATTTCGTATTTCAACTAACTAATTTAGATCAAAATAATCTTCTTCGTTCGAAATCATATACAAAATGCACGTAATAAGAATTGATGTCCAGTTTTTTAACTGTTTAAATTGTTACAAATATTTTAGGGTTTTTGCTTCTAAAGTGGTTTTATGGCAATTGGTGCAAACAAGAAGAATTCGGGTAAAAGCAAGGTTGATGAGCTTTGGCGAATAGACAGCATTCCATCGCCTTAGCAATGAAATAAAAACAACGTTATTGTTTGGCGAATGTTAAAAGACCCATTTAATCATGTTCAAATTCAAAACGCTTGGGTTACTCGCGCACGCTAAACTGCCGATGCAGTTATATTTGCGCTGCGTGAGCAAATCGTTGTATGTAACCAGTTAAAACGATATTAATACACTTTGTCTCAATAAAATAAATGAAAGCAACAAATTCGTGGTAAGTCTTTGCTGCAACCTAAGAAATGTTCCATTTAATTTATAGTTTTTTAAATTTTAATGGACACTTTCCATTCCACTCATTTAGAAGACTCTAAAATATGATTTTTTTCTCTTCATTTCGTCCGTGAAATTATAATCAGATGAAAAACCTCTAGACGAGGTTAAAATGGAGTGACGCTCCGTGCGTGGATTTACCACTCAAAATGACTGATATCATTTTGAGTGACGCTAGGACGCTGTATTATTACTGGGAACGAAGTTCAAAAGTGTTTTTCGCATTCACTATTGTGAAAATTTATTTACAATAAGGAAAAATATCGCGTCACGACTTTTGAATTTAGTCTTCAAGTCAAGCTTTAAAGCGTTTTGCCGTCCAAAAGTAGATAGACACGTGTAGCTGATACAATTGTAAATTTATAGCAAAAAAATGGAATAGTGTAATCATGTTCAAACATTCAATGAAACTCATAGAGCGGTGTAGTGTTGAAACAACTGCGCAATAATAATATAGACAATATATGTTCTGAACCAATCTATATCAAGACTGACTGAAAAGATTGTCTACAATCAGTTCACAAGCGTGTTTCAAACGAATAACAACGTGTGATATCACAGTCAAGTTCAATAAAGACAATAAATCAAACACAGAATGTTTTTGATTGCGCTCTTGTTAGGCGCTTTGACGCTGTTCTACATTTGGTTGAAGTGGAACTATTCCTACTGGAAACGAAACAATGTGCCCGGTCCAGAGCCAAGATTTTTTGTTGGAAATCTTGGAAGCGCATTGAACTTCTCTGAACATCTTGGAGTCGTAACTGCGAATTGGTATAAGTAAGTTCAAAGTAGTAAAGACATTCATTAAAAAAAGAAGCAACATATAATAATTTCATTTTTTTTTCGTACGAAGTAATTTTCCGAATGAACCGTACATTGGGTACTTTAAAATGTTGCAACCGGCCGTTTTATTACGCGACCCAGACCTCATCAAAGATGTTGTAACAACGAACTTCAACAGTTTCCGCAATAATGACGTTAGGATAAGCAAACGATTTGATCCATTTTCAGCTACGAATCCCTTCTTCAACGAAGATGATGAATGGAGAGAAGGACGCAAAACGATTTCGCCAATGTTTTCTCAAAGCAAAGTAAAAACTAACAAAATTTCTGAAAATATTGACAACAAACATACACTCTTTCTTATTTTTAGCTGAAAGTTGTTTTGCCAGTGATGAACGAAGTGGGTGCAGATTTGGTCAAATTTATTAAATCACATTCAGTGGACACTGACTTCAATGCAAAAGATGTAAAAAAGAAAGTTGTTTGAGAAAATGTTTAAGAGCAACCTCATATTTGAATGCTTGAGCGCCAAAGAGTATGTACAAAAGTACATGTGTTTTTTATCTCACTTCGAAATATTTCGAATCTAAGATGCTCTTTTGCGCTCATGCATTCATTTATTGAGTCAATTTCATCATTATATTATGTTTCAGCTTTCGACACGATTTACTACAGAGAATGTGATAAAATCAACGTTCAGTATCGAACCGAAATGTTTCGAAAACGGGGAACAGAATGAATTCTTGACAGCTGGAAAGCAATTATTCGAGCCATCCTTTTTGGTCGGTTTAAAAGTCCTGGCCATTTTATTTTTGCCAAAATGGGCATTTGAACTGATTCCGGTGTCGTGAGTGTGATTTGCTCCATTGAATGAACCAATACAATAATTTAAACTGAATTCACATGGGAATGAGCGTTTTTTTTTAGTTTCGTCCCACCTGCAATGGATAAATGGTTCAGAAGTTTAGTTCGTACAAACAAAAATTCTCGCTCAACAGATTTTCAGAGCAACGACCTATTCCAAACATTGCTTCAAATTCAAGAAAAGCATAGTGAGTTATTTATTTATCGTTTCAGTGAACACTAAAGACTCAATTGACTCTTTTGTTATTGCTTCAGAACTCGACGAAATATTTTTGGCAGGTCATTCGTTTTCTCTATTTTTCGATGGAACGGAAACATCAGCAACGTCTCTCTCATACGCTTTGTACGAACTGGGCCGAAATCCACAGTGCCAAGAGAAGCTTCACGAAGAAATTGTGAGAATAACAGCCAAATACGATGGCAAAATCACTTACGAAGGGCTTCAAGAGATGATTTATCTAGAAGGAGTGATACTTGAAGCGTCACGGATTCATCCGCCCGCTATGGTTTTAGGAAAAGTGTGTAATCAACATTATACACTTCCAAAAACATCGAAACAAACGAAATCAGTCACCATCGCACCAGGAACTGTTGTCGGTATTTCCATCCTTGGTTTACATATGTAAGAATAACAAATTATAAATTCTATTTAAATGAAATGGTTGAATAATTGTGATTTGAATCAAACGAATCCTCGTTTTATAGGGATCCGAAATACTATCAAAACCCACAGGTGTTTATACCGGAACGCTTCAATGAGGAAGAGCAACGAAATCGACACAAAGGCACATTTTTGACGTTCGGAGAAGGTATTAATTCGTATATTGTTATTAAAAATGATTTCTAAAGAATATTTGAATATTTTTCCTAAATATTGTGTCAAATTATAAAACAGGTCCACGCATTTGCCTTGGAATGCGATTCGCCATGCTCCAACTCAAAATCGCTTTGGCCTACATCACTTTGAATTTCCATATCAAAGTATCACCAAGACACAAGCCAATCGTTATTGACCCACAAACGATTATGTCACATCCAAAAGACGGGATCTTACTTCAATTCGATTCGCGTTAACAATTTGCACATTCATTTTGTATCATGTCTGAACCAAAAAAATTATAACTGACCAATGATATCAATTGTATGAATAGATGTTGATTAATGGAACTTACTTTGATTCATTTGGCGCCTTTTCGTTCTGAAGTGAAATCGAATAAATTGATATGATGTTTTTTAAATGCGATCTCATGCAATTTGAATCGTAATCAGAATGAATAAATATAAATGACCTTGAAAACTGTATCTGAAATAGAACTTTTTTTGCTCATTATCAAACAAATAGTTTGAATTAAGGTTCGGTGTAAACATTCACTGTGATTCGAACTGTGGTAAATTGCAGAATATATTTCATTTTATTCACAACAGCCAATTAGTGCAGTAAATCTGCACATAATTAAGAACTTTGAAACAATTTGAAAAAGTTTTCTTACAAAAAACAGCCTGAAAATATCAATTAAAATTAGCGCGACAGGGTAGTGGAAAGTCGGAATGAGAAGTTACCGTTTTTTTCATCTTCTTCTGTTGGGTTGACAAAAACATTATTAATTGAAACTTTTCCGCATTTTGCTGCAGTGTGATTTTCTTCACTCACTAGGTGGCGCTGGTTGTGCACAATGCTGTTATATTGTGAATAAAATAAACACTAAACGCATGACAAGACAATTTTTTCATTGATATAATTAATGACTTTAAATTGATTGTAAAGTGGTTGAATCATATCTATTTCAACACACATATGAATGCTTCTAACTTGATTCCATACATTGTAATATTCGGTGAGTGCCACTAAAAAAATAACCACACTCATCTAGTGCATGAGACGTATGGTCACTCATTTAGTGAGTGCGACGCATGCGGATGGGATGAAGCAAAGCGAAAGGGAAGCGCGCAACTCCATACGAACGAACGATATAGCGCGCATACATTTCGTCACTCCGTCCTTAGAATACGGACACAAACACAAACACAAACACGTAGTACCCATTGACTCTATGTTCTAGTTGCGCGCTTCCCTTTCGCTTTGCTTCATACCATCCGCATGCGTCTCATTCACTAAATGAGTGACCATGCGTCTCAAGCACTAGATGAGTGTGGATATTTTTTTTAGTGGCACTCACCGAATATTACAATGTATGCTGTTGTTATTCATTTTAAAAGTATCTTGAGAATTAGGCGATAAATAGATTTTTGTCTTTAATAGATTTTTCATGCTTTCCGCACACTAGTAAAATATGGTGGAATAATAGATATCATTCACTTGGCACGAGGTTTTAGTTCCAGATGTACACCTTTTTCGGCAATAACAAACGGTGATTTTCTCAATTTTAATGGAATCTGCGTGTCCTTATTCGGTTCTAAAGAGAAATTCAGCAGCAAATAGTACAGAATGGCTTTCAGTTCCATCAAAGCGAAACGAGAGCCTACATATATTTGAAAGAAAAGATAATAATATTTAGTCTTGGTGAAGTTAAAGTCTACATCGCAATAATCACCGACCAATGCAATTCCGTGGTCCTAGCCCGAACGGATTATACGTGCCCGGCACAATATTATGCTTGTTTTCATCAGAAAATCTCTCGGGGTCGAACTTGCTTGGATTGGGAAAGTATTTCGGATCGTTTTGTATGCTCATCAGGGAGAATAAAACGCTAACGCCTTTATCTATTTTAAAGTTGAGCTGCTTTCCGTCATCGTAGACGTAATTTTTCACACACAATCGATCTATCATCACGGCAACTGGCCATTTTCTCAATGTTTCCGAAACAACTTGATCCAAATATTTCATTTTCTGAAGCACATCGTACGAAACTCGTTTTTCGCCCAATTGCTCGTTCACTTCGGCAATCTCTTCGTAAAGTTTTTGTTGCACATCTGGGTTGGCCAGAATTTCATACGCAGCGAAAGATAAAACCGAAGAAGACGTCTCGAAACCCGCAAGAAAGAAAACTAAGCACTGTGCAACTAGTTCATCGTCATTCCATTTGTGAGACACGCTCGTTTTTCCCACTTCCGATTCTTCAACAGTGGCAAAACCTTCGGATACTTCTTTGGGCGCTTCCTCTGCATTCAGCACCCCATCACGAACTTGCATCAAAATATTGATCATGTCGGGTCGAAAAATGTGGTTCTTTTTACGCAAGTCCATTGTATTTAAAATCATCGCTTTAAACTCATTCGAAATCGCTTCATCGAAGAACTTGATGTTGAAAAGTCGCGCAAATTTTGTGCACAGCATTGTCACGAAAAATTTTATGCTACGCTTAACGCCACTAAAGTCCATTAACACCTTACCATTGCGGTAGAATGAGTTGTCTGGTTCCGCAATGGAATTAACTTTGATTCCAAATGCACACGAGGCGATGACATCGTTTGTGTAGCGCGAAAAGAAATCCTTCATTTCTAAATTAATTTTCTCGCCATTTTCGATTTGCTTCAAAAAATGTTTGATTATTCCATCGGCACACTCCAACACGAGCTCAAACATTAGTCGCATTTTGCTCCCGGTGAACGCTGGACTTAGTGTGGCTCGCATTTGACGCCATTTTTCGCCGTGCAATGAAAGTAAACTCTTTCCCCATAGCTCATCCACATCTTCATTTATAAAGCCCTTCCGATCTTCAAAGTTAACAAAATCCTTGACGAATATTTGCTTACACAGGTCTGGATCGCGTATGAATACTTGACGCCCCATAATTCCATATATGCCATATAGTCTGCATGTAAAAACCATACAAATTCAATTTCATCTAATAAATGCAAGACCACTTATGAGTTGGAATGAAAAATTAAATGAAAATAATTACGGTTCATCAGGAAATTGATCGTAATGACGCTGCACAAACTGGATGACATCATTCTTACCAACAAACATCGCGTATATATTGTACAGCGAAAAAGATAGATCCTTGCATTCGACATTTCGCTCTGCAAAATACTGCTTGTTGACGGTTTTATATTTATAAATAGCGTATGGTATCAATACGATTCCTAACGTTAGTATAAATTCTGCAATCATTTTTAAATTGTGATTTGCTTTAAATCGACCGTACTTGCTTCAGCTCACGAAGCTAGGCGAAAACTGTTTTTATGTCATCATACGTAGGAGTTTATATCAAACTGACTCTATTGCCTAAGCATTCACATGTTCTATAGAAAATTTATAGAAAACCATCTGTTTCTATCTATTACGGCGCAGTTTTAATGTTTACATTCAATACATATAGTCTATAGACTGTAGTATATATACTACATAGCTTAAGCGATGCGAATACACAATTACACATTCAAAACGAATGATGATCGTGTCAATAAGTCCCACTATACAAGAACATGAATTGTGAATATTATCGCGTACATATTTGCGAAACACATCGACACAGGAAACAGTGACATACGTACCAGAGACTGAAATAATAAATTTTCAGAAGATCCGAAAACATGATAAATTGTGTTCAGAAGATCCGAAATTCCGATTGCAATCTAAAAAACAAAACGAAACTCTGAATTATAGATGAGTTTCATTGTGTTTGAAAGATTCAATTTGTTTAACGAAGAAAAAAACAAAATGAAATGTTTGATATTCCCCATTGATTCATATACAATTTTATTGCCGATCTTGGGAATTATTTTTTCAATATGAATGCCGTCTCAGCACATTAGTGCATGCTCGTGCCACGATTTCTTCACAATCGGTGTTTTAGGATATTCAATCATTCAACTTCGATTTCCAACCGAAGTCTTCAAAGTGAGAATTTATTATGTGAACGCAGAACTGTTTCAAATAACGATTAAAATTTTTCAAATTCATTGAAAAGCTGACGAACTTCAGAATGCAGGTGTACACAAAAAATTCGAAAAAGTGAACAGTTTTTGCGATAACGAGTTTTATATTTCCCATATCTTGACCAACAATTTTAATGTTTGTATGGCGAGCGAAGCGAGCCTAATATTTCCATATGATGTGCAATGAAATTCAATTTTTCCCTAATTTATTGTAATATTTTCTATCAAAGAGTATTTTGTATGCGTGCTTTGGGCATAAATTTTGTTTCATTTGAAATTTCTTAGCGAGCAATAGGAAAATAAAGTTTTTTTTTTTATTTCATTCATTTATTATCAAATACTAAACAACAAAAAGATAAGATTGCAATCGATATGATGATTTTGATGAGTCAGTTTTCTAGCATTGTTTGTTTCTATGACTTCTTCAATGTGATTTATCGTATTGCAATCGATGATGAAATTCGTTATGTTCAGTTTTCGCTTCTTGGTTTCAACTCCAAATGTACACCCTTTTCGGGTAGTACAAATAATCCCTTCTTCATTTTCAATGGAATTTGTGTTTTTTCATTCGCTTCGAATGAGAATTTTAGCAGCAAATAGTAAAGAATTGCCTTAAGCTCCATCAGAGCAAAACGAGAGCCTACATATTTGAAAGGAAATGATAATAATATTTAGTCTTGGTGAAGTTAAAGTCTACATCGCAATAATCACCGACCAATGCAATTCCGTGGTCCAAGTCCGAATGGTACATAAGTTCCCGGTAGAATGTTGTGTTTTTTTTCATCAGAAAATCTCTCGGGGTCAAACTTGCTTGGATTGGGAAAGTATTTTGGGTCATGATGAATACCTGCAACAATAATTTGATTATCACTGCATGTTTTGCAATTTGGAAGCTACAACTCAGAACCGCTTGCGGTTTGAAAACAACCATTCGCTACAATAATTGTTCGTTACCGTAGATAGGGAATAAAATGTTCGATCCTTTCTCGATTTCAAACTTCAACTGGCCATCGTCATAAACATATGGTTTACCACAAACTCTGTCCGTTTGAACAGAAATGGGCCATTTTCTTAATGTTTCCGAAACAACTTGATCTAAATATTTCATTTTCTGTATTGCATCGTAGCTAATTCGTTTTCCACCCAACCGTTCGTTTAGTTCGGCTATTTCTTCATAGAGCTTTTGTTGAACATCCGGATTTGTTAGCAGTTCATATGCAGCAAACATAAGAACGGTGGCTGCCGATTCAAAACCTGCTAAGAAGAACAGGAAACATTGGGCAACGAGCTCATCATCGTTCCATTTGCGAGTTACACTGGCTTTTCCCACTTCTGACTCTTCAACGGTTGCAAAACCTTCATCAGTCTCTTTTGACTTTTCTTCCGCTTGATGTTGTAAGCTTCCCTCACGAGCTTGCATCAGCATATTTATCATGTCGGGTCGATAAATATTGTTATTTTGTCGCATTGCCATTGTATCGAGAATCATACTTTTGAATTCGTCCGTTACAGTCCCATTAATAAGTCTCAATTTGAAGATTTTGGCGAGTTGCGGCATTGACAGGAATATAACAAATTTGATAGAATTCCAGAAACTTGTGAAATTCATCATTTTCTTTGAGTTCAGAAAAAAATCGTTGTTTGGTTCCGCGATGGAATTTACTTTGATCCCGAATGCACATGTAGCAATGACATCGTTTGTGTAGCGTGAAAAGAAATCCTTCATTTCAATGTTGATTTTCTCACCACTCTTGGCCTGTTTCAAGAAATGCTTCATGATTTCATCGGCACACTCAGATACGAGCTCAAACATCAGTCGCATTTTGCTTCCGGTGAACGCTGGACTCAATGTAGCTCTCATTTGACGCCATTTTTCACCATGCAATGCAAATAAACTGTTGCCCAGCAAACTATCCATTTTTTCATCGATAAAAACGCGATGATCCTCGAAATTGGCAAAGTCTTTTATTGCAATACGTTTGTATGCTTCGGGATCGCGAAAAATGTACTGGCGAGAAGAAAAATCGAACACACCGTAAACTCTGAACAAATTTTTGATAGAAATATAATTTTCATTTTAAATTGGAACAAAAAACTTCGCAGAAAGGCTTATTACTTACGGTTCATCGGGATACGCATTGTAAAGTGTTTGAATTTGTCCGAACGCATCGAATTGCCCAGTAAACATTGAATATAAATTATGCAATGCGAATGATATGCCTTTGTATTTCACATTTCTTTCCTCAAAATACCGTGCACTATTCGTGACAAACTTATAAATGGCATATGCAATTAATGCAATGCCCACTGACAGTAACAATTCGCCCAGCATTCTACAAAGTGATTGCGCTAAATTAAACGAACAAATTGAGACTGACGCGCTGACCACATTCGCAAGAACATCTACTCTCGCGTGAAGTAAACAATACTCATTATTTCACTGGAGTCGAATGTGTTGAAGTGTTCGCGCGTGATTGGGAATATTAAGCGAAAAAAATATTACCATTTATTTCACTACTGTGTTCGCAACACAAGCGTGCGACGGGTAGCTCGTACTATCTACACGTTCACACAACTGTGATATTTCTTATATTGGCTACTCTGATTCAGAAGAACATTGTTTAGTGGTGTGTTGATCAAATCCGTCATGCACTGAACGTTTGTGTGCATTTCAATCCAAGCAATTATATATAATCATCGTTATTTACTATGTTCCTCCTGAATGTAAAATTATAATAAAAATCAAAGATCCAAGGTCACCCAATATGTGATTTGGTCCATTGTTCAAAACTGATTAAAATTTAATGATCTACTCGAACTCATTCAAGCCTATACAAAAAAAAAGTGAAATTCAAAAGAATGACTTTGAAATTTTGGTTCCAGTCTAGCGGAAGCTATTACTTGCGAATTGTTATCTCTCAAATCATTCATCTGAGTGCAATAACCGTACAGACAGCGTACACACTTTGAACTTTCGTTTAAACTTCATAATATTAGTGCAAATAAAGTTCGCGAAATGATAAGAGAGTGACATAATCAAAACAAATGCGCTCACAAAAAAACTGCTTGTTCTTACCACCACAATTGTAAAACCACCATGCTTATACGAGTGATCTGGCAATTTTTACATAATATTTTTGCCATTCAAGTATAATTCAAGTGCAGTTGGTTTCTTTTTAACACATTTATTAAAACATCAATAAAAACTACTGATAAATCACTTTCAAGTATTAACACAATTTCAGTTAAAATAATTATACAGTCCACTTAATGATGTATCTAAATATAGTGTGAAAAATAACATTTCCGGCACGCGATTGTGAACTTGTGTCCAATCTCTCTAATCGTATACGAATTGTTTCAACAGTATTGTTGAAAATGAAATGTGTATGTATCGTATATTGGCTATAGTCATGGCAACAATCTATGAACGATCGCCAGAAGATCGTACACGAATGTAATCGTGTCCCTTAGAAATGGTGCCTTTTTGAAAAAGTATTAAATAAAGTAAAATTCGAAGTATCCATTAGTACATTATCATTTCGATATCATCACAGCAATTTATTTGCACGTGGCTTCAACTGCAAATGAACACCTTTCTCGGTCTTGATGAATGGTACTTTGCTCATTTTTAACGGGATCTGAGTGTCTTTGTTTGGTTCAAATGTGAAATTCAGCAGCAAATAATACAAAATTGCTTTCAGTTCCATCAGAGCGAAGCGAGAACCTGTAAAATGATAACATCAGTATTCTTTTTATTTCCCTTAATACTCATCAATGTATAAATATCAGTATGTCACCTATACAGTTGCGAGGCCCGATTCCGAATGGAGTATACGTGCCCGGTACAATATTATGTTTGTTTTCATCACTGAAACGTGCTGGGTCAAATTTTTCGGGTTGCTTATAATATTTCGGGTCGTGATGTACAGCTATTGAATGAATAATAGAAATTATAGGAAAATATCAATTTTATTCATTGAATAATTAATTCACAGTTACCATAGATTGAAAAAAGAATGTTTGATCCTTTTTCGATCGTGAATTTCCTCTCGCCATCATCGTAAACGTAGTCACGAACACAAAGTCTATCAGTTTGAACGGCAATGGGCCATTTTCTCAACGTTTCTGACACCACTTGATCCATGTAGATCATTTTTTGAAGTACATCATATGTAACTCTCCTTCCTTCCAATTGCTCGTTAACTTCATCAATTTCTTCGTATAATTTTTGTTGAATATCTGGATTTGCCACCAATTCATAAGCGCAAAAAGTTAGAGCTGAAGAAGACGTATCAAATCCAGCAATGAAAAACAGGAAACACTGTGCAATCAACTCATTATCTTTCCATTTTTGAGTTACATTGGCTTTTCCAACATCTGACTCTTCAACGGTTGCGAACCCTTCGACATTGTCTTTTAATTTCTCTTCTGTTTGTTGGTCCAACTGTTTTCCTTCACGAACTCGCATCAGCATGTTTATCAGGTCGGGTCGATAAATGTTGTTATTCTGTCGCATTGCCATCGTATCGAAAATTATACTTTTAAACAATCCCGTGATGGAATCATCGAAGAATTTGAAATTAAATTTACTCGCCACTTTTGGCATAATGAATATTATGAATAGTTTAAATGTTCGCCAAATTCCACCAAAATTTAACAGTTTCTTGGCTGTTTGGAAAAATTCGTTGTCTGGATTATCAAACGAGTTAACTTTAATACCAAAAGCACATGTAGCGATGACATCGTTCGTGTAGCGTGAAAAGAAATCCTTCATTTCAATGTTGATTTCCTCTCCTTTCGCAGCCTGCTTTGTAAAGTGTTTCACTATTTCGTCAGCACACTCCGATACGAGCTCAAACATTTGTCGCATTTTACTGCCGGTAAATGCTGGACTCAATGTCGCTCGCATTTGTCGCCATTTTTCACCGTGCATCGAAATCAAACTGTTGCCGAATAAATCATCCATTTTCTCATCTACGAATACACGATGATCCTAAAGATGAAATTCTTATTATTAATCCTAATTGACTTAAAGTTGATGAAGCAATAACTTTTTTTTAAGTGATCAAAAAGTCGAAGTCAAAACCTCAAAGTGGTCGAAATCTTTAATCGCTATACGCCTGTAAGCATCGGGATCACGAATAAAGTATTGACGGATGGAAAAATCGAATAAGCCAAAAATTCTAAAATAAATAAAACATCACATAATTCCAAGGTCAAGAACGATAGTTATTGCGAGAAACTCACGGTTCATTGCGGAAAAAATCATAACTTTTTTGTGTCATCTCAATAAGGCCGATTTTGCCGAGAAACACTGACAACATAATACGTAATGAGTCTAGGGCACCTCGGTATTTGAGATTTCGCTCTTCGAAATATCGAGCATTGTTCGCAGTCAGTTTATGAAAAGCGTACGTAATTAATATGAAGCCGAAGGTCAACAATAATACACCAAACATTTTCGACTGAAATTCAGAACGTATTCACGCTAGCGCAACCAAATTAAAACTGATTCATCCAATTCAATTACATAAAATATGAATAAGCCTTTCAAACACTGCTACATTGTTGCTCATTCACACAGCATTCATTCTCTGTTTTGCAAATAATGTGTAGCTTGTGGCTTGTGGCTGTCTAGGTTTTATTGCTTAGTATATAAGCATTCAATAGCGTTATATATACCGGGTATCGTGATTAGACATAAATAGCTATGAGAATGCAACTGATCATAGTTGTGTGTTCAGAGTATGCGGTAATCAATGATTCGAGTTCTCGCTGTTGATTCCATTGAATGTCAAATATGCCGTGAAATTGAATTACGCTTCAAAATTGCAAACAATGACGGAAATGTTACGAAAAATTAAAACGCAATTTGCATCTTTTATTTTGTGATTAAGTGAAGACAGAAAATATTTAATTTATTTAAACTGGATTGGTACTTTTATTCACACGAACATGATTGTTATTGAAATGGATGACGACGTTTCAGTGTTGACTGAAAAATAAAAGCATTAGAACTTTCTTCCAGATTCAATGTGTAATATCCAAGGGAACTCAGTATTGACATCGATGACGAAATTCGTGTACCTAAATATTGTTTGCTTCTTGGTTTCAATTCCAAGTGCATGCTTCTTTCAGTGACTAAAAATGGTGCGTTTGATATGTATACACAAAAATTGCGTCACCACGATTCAGCTTCAATTGGCAACATCCTCGAAGAAAATAAGTTCAAACAATTAACCATAGCTAAAGGTCATATTGATTTAGTTAATTAATCAGAACTTCGTCGATATGTGACAATAACTGGTTTATTCAACTGTTGCCAAATAATTCATCTGATTTTTCATCTAAAATAACCTTTTCGGAGTCATTTCCCTGTAAAACTAAGTACTCAGCCAGTTTTTGGCAGTGTATATGAATAAATAAATATTGAAAAACTTTTCAAATAGTTGTGTCTATCAAAAAGTTTTTCACACTCTGAAACTGAAATATTTCAATGATTTGACTAAATTCTTTCAACTCAATATGTATACACGCCTGGTGATCACGTTAAATATACCAGGCGCTGTGATGTAGTGTTTGATGTTTGATTAAACGGTCTTTTCCGGCAAATAAGAGATGATGGGTCATCATAACATCACGTAATGAGACTGAAAAATTTGGAATTACTATCAAATACTTAAAATACCGGTATTAATCAAAATTGATAACTCATCAGTTCATCGTTTGTACAAAACATTTTTGTAATGACGTAGATTATGTATGCTATTAATGGAATTGAGAAACTTCAAATAGTTGATAACTTACAGTTAAATAAAAGATATGGTTATGAACCCGATTCATAAGATTCCATAATTTATTTTATTACAAGATTTCCATTCAATTTTTTCGTGGTTTCAATTCTAAATGCATTCCATTCTGTAGGCTCAAGTTGAATGGTATGCGTTTTAGTTGCGGTGGAATTTGCGTCTGTTCATTCGGCTCAAAGGAAAAGTTTAGCAGCAAGGAATATAAGATTGCCTTCACTTCCATAAGTGCGAAACGGGAACCGATGCAATTTCTAGGTCCGATTCCGAATGGAATGTATGTACCCGGAATGATGCGATCTTTATTTTCTTCATTGAAGCGTTCGGGGTCGAATCTATCGGGAATTGGAAAGTGCTTCGGGTCATTTTGAATTCCTGCAGAAAAAAATTTGATTGTCATTGAATGCTTTTCAATTTGGAAACTACATCAATTGTTGGTTACCGTAAATTGGGAAAAGGAACGGTGTTCCTTTTTCGACTTTGAATGTCAATCCTTCGCCATCATCGAATGTGTAATCCTTCACACAAACACGATCAACCTAAAATGCCGTTGATTTTCGAAAATTGTCACGCAAAAAAAAGAAAACGAAAAAGTCTACCGTACACTACCTGAAATGCTGGTGGCCATTTCCTGAGTGTTTCACAAATGAATTGATCCAAATATTTCATTTTCTGGAGTACATCGTAATTGATACGTTGTCCGTTCAATTGACCATTAACTTGTACAATTTCCTCGTACAGTTTTTGTTGAATGTCCGGATTGGCGATAAGTTCATAGGATATGAAGGTCAACAAGGTAGAGGACGTTTCAAATCCTGCCAAGAAGAACAAAAAACACTGTGCGACGATTTCATCGTCGTTCCACTTGCGAGTCACAGTAACCTTTCCAACATCAGACTCCTCAACCGTTGCGAATCCTTCTTTTTCCGAAGCTTGTTCGTCATTTTGATGTTTTAAACTTCCTTCGCGCACCTGCATCAAAATATTAATCATATCCGGCCGATAGATATTACGGCTCTTGCGCACTTCCATTGTTTCCAAAATTAAATTTTTGAATGATTTGCTGAAAAATTCGTCCATTATTTGCATTTTCAGCGCACGAGCGAGGGCTGGCATTTTATTCATAATTATGATTTTGGCGATTTTTTTTATCCCAGTGAAGTCCATCATTTTCTTGCCATTCAAAAAAAATTCATTATCTGGTTCGGCCAGCGAATCCACTTTGATACCAAATGCACACGAAGCAATTACATCGTTCGTGTAGCGTGAAAAAAATTCCTTCATTTCAACGTTGATCGTTTCGCCAGTGGCCGAACGTTTCAAAACATGTTTGACAACATCATCAGCACATTCTGATACAAGTTCAAACATTTGACGCATTTTGCTTCCGGTGAATGCTGGACTCAATGTAGCTCTCATTTGACGCCATTTTTCACCTTTCATAATGAACAATGAATTTCCCCAAAGCTTATCAGTTTTTTCATCGGTGAACGCACGATGATCTTCAAAAAAATCAAACTCTTTGATTCCGATTTTCTTGATTGTTTCCGGATTACGAACAACAAATTGTGGAACACGGAAGTCAAACATCCCATAAATTCTATTTAGAGAATAAAGGACAGTTTTCAGAAAATTATTTTCAATTTCGGGTACCTATGTTAAACTCACGATTCATGTGGAAATGTGTTGTACACCATTTTAGCAAATTCGATGGCGTCATATTTCTGAAGGAACATTCCGCCCGTATTGCCAACTAAAAATTTCGGCTTCGTGTATTTGACACCGCGTCGTTCAAAGTATCCATTATTTATTGTTGCCCACTTGTAAAATGCCAAAGTGAACAAGGCAATAGCCGCACTCAGCAATATTTCTCCAATCATTTTTATCTGGGAAGAGCAAATAGTATTTAAAAACACATTAGCTCGTACTTGAAATCAAATAGCAAATAACGTATTCACAATAAAAATTCATTCCAATTAGTTGGCACTTTATCTATGATTGATTGAAATGCCATTTTGACTTTATCGCACCGACCACTGTGAGCAATGTGCATTGCAGCATTGTCGAATACTAAGTTTGAGCATTTTAGCTGTATTTGAAGAGCCTTCCGACGATTTCGGGAACAGAGATGTTCCCAAAAACATATATAAAATTGAAACAAACGTAGCTCTTATTAAACTGTTTAGTATGATAAAACACTTGGATATTTAAAAATATATTTAAGGCACAAATACTCCAAATATGCTTGTAATTCGCAGTTTCCTCTAAACTAAACACTTCATTGAAATCCATAAATTCTTTGCTTCAAAATTCATTTTCACAGTTGCACATATCACTTTTGTTAATAATAACGCGCGAATATGTTACCTACTCAGCAGTGGAGATGCGAATGAACACTGATGTCATACGTTGAGTAAATTACTAGGTTAACTCGTTTGTACGTTTTTTTTTTCAATTTATTTTTCGATTGAGTTGTAAATATGTGTGTGCTTGAAAATAGAAAACAAACATGACTCTGAATTGTCGGTATTTTGATATTTCTATATACATACACTAACCACGATACTGATATTTAATACGTATAAAGCACGGAATATATGTGAAGTACAGCTGATCTGGTATATAAGCAAACTCACAAACACCAACGCCCCTGGCTAAAACTGAATAAATCTTCATTTACAAAGAATCATCATCATCATCATCATTGTCATTGTCATGTCTAGACAGGGTGTATCGTCTGTGCAAGTTTACTCCTCTCTGTACAGCAAATAGAACAGTAATCGTCCAGAAGGATTCGGATCGTTCTGTTGCCACTTGACATGATCATCAGAGCACGTGAAACAGCATTGATGCTGTTTAGTGCCCAATCTGCGATCACTTATTACTTCAGTTGAAATAATGCCATCACATCATGTCTATTTATTTTTTCCTTTAACCGTCTAATGCATATAACCGCCTCTAGACGGGCAATATTTGAACGCCTGTAGAACGTATACCATACATCGGATCACATTGCTTCAAAAATAATTCGTCAATGTTCTTCGTCAATGTTCTCTCTTTATTTTTGTCTTTGGCAATATTTGTCTATGTAGTGTGATTGTAAAGTTATAAACAAAAATGTGTGCAAAAACAAAAATTTGATAAAATAAATTATTCGAACTCGGAATTGGACACATTTTTGACACTTTTAAACAATGTATTTGGTTGTTCTCTGATTTATGTCAATCGCATTTCCTGACTAAACCATGAGGAATCCAAGATTATGAATATTTTTTTAAATATCTATGGCCGAAAATCAACTAAGTACTCCCAGCTCTGGGAAAAACTAATGCATTAGAGGGTTAATTTAGCGATATGATATCTATCGTTTGGTTACAACAAACACATTACATTTGTTCCTTCTATTATATTGATAAATATATGAATATCGTAAACACTCCAATTTGTAACATAAACTATCAATTTTCCGATTTGCATGTCCATTTCTACAAAATTACTTCATAAATTCCCAACATGTTTATATCTATTCGAAAGAGAATTTATTTGGCTTTTATTTGATGTATCGGTTGATTAACGAAAAATTCATTCAATAGTTTAATTTTTATTTTAATCGCAAAAATACGGAAATCTCATATTAGGAAACTGAACTATCCATATTGTAAACTCCAAATTGAAACATATATTCACAAACTTATGACGAAACTTTATTAAATGTCAAAATTTGAACGCGCGAAAACCGTTTGGGTTCCACGCAATTGTTTCCAAATTCGATGTGATTTCGATTTATTCTATTGATTTTGGATTGTTTTTCTTTTATGTTTTTCAATATTTATTGTTTTAAAACATTTTCGCAAACAAGAATATTTACGCTATCATACATTTCAACACACTAAGTGATCGGCACATTGCGAACTGTCACATCTGTCAACACCAAATCAACCATAGAACTTACATTCAAAGTTCAGTTTGACAGCAGCTTTGTATGTTATAACTCGAAAAGAATGAGTTACAATTGATACATCATGAAATTTATCTAAAATATTAATATTTGTCGAAATATATTGCAAAAAGAGTGTTTCATTAAATTTTCAAAAACATTTCACAGTAGAAATTCATGGAAACATCAAATATTTTGTACTGTATTTAGTGGAAAAAACAATGAATTGGGAAGCGTGACATTGCAACATAGTTCAACATTTCCTCTCAAAACCAGTGAAAAACTAGATGCTGTTTTCAAAATGGATAAATGAATGTAAACTAAAACATTTTCAGTGTTTAATTATTCTACATAGATAGATTTTTTCGT